TATATATATATATATGATCCCACTTATGATTAATTACTAGTGTAACTACTACAATTAAAGTCAGCAGCACGATCTACCATTGACTGGCATTTTGTCTTCCAAGACAAAAGGCAATAACCTCATAGCTGATTCCAGATCCAGGAGGGGAGATATCTATTTCTTGTTCTGACCCTCTAGCTGCCCCTCCACACCCAGACCTGTCAATGAGGATAAAACATCTCTATCAAATATAATTTACCCATTGTGATCTGATAGTATGCATCTGCTCTACTTAGAGACCCCAGCGAATGCAGGAAAATGATACAGTTATTGCTGAAACAGTAAAGGGTGTCATTTTGTAATTATGTATTGATTTTTTAGCAAAGTGTTGTTCCTCTTCTGTAAACAGTCTAGCGATGCTTATCAAGGAAAGGAATTGCGCCACATTAAGCAGAAGCGTGGTAGACCTGTGTCGGTGTGTACTGGTCGGGCAGCATTTTCTGGACTCTGATCACCCAGATCAATATGGCCTGTCACAGGGTTCCCTGCTAGGAAATGTCAGATGTGTCTCTTCTAATATATAGGGTTAACGAATTAGGTGATGTTTTTATCGGACTATTCCTATATTAGCATCACCAGCTAGGGAGATAAATTCAACATTCGGCGTCTAAAGTAAACTCATATTAAACTAATACTAACATTATGGCTGTAGGTGGCATAATGGATGCCTTTTCCCATTAAATAGCTATATTTCAGGCGTCTGTCCGCACTAATCTATTCAAGTGTCAGCCTCAGCTATGACAGGCAACCTGATTCACTAACAAATACTACAGGGCATTATCATCCATTTTCGGCAAGAATTTTAATTGAATCGGATGTTACCACTTTACAGGACGGTCAGGCTGAGATAAAGCTGTGCTGGCTGTCCAGGCTGACTGGGACTTTGGAGGAGAACTGGGGCGCAGCTCAGACGCAGAGTGTGTACAGCTTGTAGCGGCACCAGGCTGGGCTACATGAGCGACAAACGGCAAACGCTACCGGAGAACGGAGCGACTCTACAAATTGATCGGAAGACGTAGGAATACTATTATATTAGTCTAGAATCCAAGGAACCTATAATAGATTAATGAAAATTCGTTGGAATGTGTCTGCGATATCTGCATGTAAGTATAGATTTTAAATATATTTCATATAAATGTGTATATATATAATATATAGATATATATGTATATATAAACATATATATATATATATTCCAAGCACATTTACACCCAGGATTCACACATTTTGCTAATTGGGTGAAGAATATGTGGATATTGGGTGAAAGCATGGCTAAGTAGACCCCCTTACCCAGCTACAGGGGGCACATCTTTTCAGATCAGAAGTCTGTTTAGATGTAAGAATAATTGCAGCTGATGGGTCCCTTGGTGGTTTTGCAAAAAAAAGCAAATTTTCTGGCGTTTGTGCCGTGTGAATGGCAGATCTCATAGAGAAAATGATGATATAAGAAGTGCATGGAGTTATCCCTCTCTCCATGGCTCAATATGCATTTCTTGCAGTGGTCGGTACAATGGGGATGATGTGCTGGGACTTGGACCAACACTGTGCTGCTTCTATTATATGAAGGGTGATATTATATGATGGTATTATAGAAGCCGTATTATTGAAATGTACAGTTCACTATCACTAATTGTGCCGTGCTGGATTCTGATGATCTTCAGGGACTTCTAACACAAGAACTGATCTCATACCAATGTCCGCAGTCCGAAGAATATCAATTTATTTTAATAAATAGGCTACTACTACTACTTAAAGAATAATAACAGGAATAATAATAATAATAATAATAATAATATGCTGATAAACTAACAATATGGATTGATCTCTGTGTGGAAATCTATGAACAGTTAGACATGCAGACATTTTCGTACAGCTCAGTCTCTTTCCCAGTCGTACAATCCCAGTACAGTATATAGATTTGGCTTCCTACTGTATGAGGCCACCTTAGTGACCGGCTCTGACAGTCCATGTACATCTTGACTCTTGATACTGCTGTTACGTCAGCTGTGTACAGAGTGAGCAAAGCATGTCGCATGTCACCTATTCTCCTCCAGTGTGATGTCATGGTCGTCATAAATGAGTGCGGTGGTTAGTTGAGGAGACAGATAGTGAATACAAAGTGAAAGAATAGTGAAGTCGGGGTAGCCCCTAGAAAGGATAACAGATGGGCTGTGTAGAAAACAAGGTTTAATAGTGCCGGAGCAGTAATCAGCCGTGTGCCAGTAGCGCATGTGGAGCGCTGTATGCCTATATTAGGTGACCTGTATCTGGGGCTTATAACGTCACCGGGGCGCCTGTGACCAATGAGTGGAGGCGGCCCCTCCTCTGTGTGTCTTATGGTCAGGCAGAGCTGAGTAGAGGCAGCACTTAGTAGGTGAGGAGTGCACGCTGCCATGATCTGCCTGCCATAGTGAGTGTGCCCGATCTTCTCTGACATCTGGGAAGGCTACATGACTCTTCTCTGCTGCCATCATGTTTGCTAGTCCAGTGACTTCTACTCCATTCTCTGTCAAAGATATCCTCAACCTGGAGCAGCACCAGACTGGCCTGACAGCCATGGACATCTCCCCCAGGCTGGACACCTCTTCCTGCATGCTGTCCAGCTTCAAGCAGGAGTCGTACCCGGGTACTCCGTGCCTATCGGAGCTGAGTGAGGACCTGTCTCAGAGGGACACCTCCAAGGGTTCCTCTCCTTTCCCAGGATCTTTCTTCGTCAAGAACTATATGGAGATGGAGTCATCCAAGGAGCACAAAGAGGACAAAAAAGGTAAAAACGAATAGCCTGATGTGCTTATACATACCATACCATGTCACAGGGATCGGCTGTGCTCAGAGGCCTAAAGATCACACAAAGAGAGGGATCCACTCCGATCCTGTAACCGTGCGATATCAGACCATGGGCTGCAGACAAAATATACCGCATTTATAATCGGCTCACCGAGCCTTCCTATTTATTAATATCATCTCCTATGGGGAGTCCGTGCTGGAAATGTAAGGCAAAGATAAACGAATGCACTCGTGCTTTTCGTTAATGTTATTGCTAGTTGGTGTAGAAGTAATTAGGTAAGACCAGATACGGGGGAAAAAGAAATATTAACATCACAAGACATACAGGAAAGAATCAAATCTCAGGAATCATGTCGGAAATGTTATACTTTCCTGGATATATATACATACATATATGTAGTTATACAGTATATTTACTTTGGGTTTAGGCAGCCTTAGCAACTCAATTGTTACAAAAGATTGTGCCAGAAATTCTGAGAGTTGTGTTTTTCTTCATTTGTTTTGAAAGAGAAGAGAGAAATAGAGAGAGTGAGAGAGCAAGAGAATGAGAACCAGCTTCAGAAATATATGTTTCATTCCAGTGAATTAGATACAACTATAATAGACATTCAAATAATGAAAGTACTTAATGAGCACCATCAGTGGAATGAGCTGTGTGCCTGCATGTGGTTTTTGTGGATCTTGGTGGTAAATTGATGCTATCAATGAACTGATTTGCTGGCTTTGGCAACATATTCTGTTAATTTTGTGCTTTTCTTTCCCAGAACTCTGCTCCTTGCAGAAAACCCTGGAAAGTGACAAGAGAGACATGGATGACCCAGATAGACCAAGGCAGAGAAAGAGAAGGAAGCCCAGGGTTCTCTTCTCCCAGGCCCAGGTCTATGAACTTGAGAGAAGGTTCAAGCAGCAGAAGTACCTATCGGCTCCAGAGAGAGACCATTTAGCTAACGTGTTAAAACTCACGTCCACCCAGGTGAAAATTTGGTTCCAGAACAGAAGATACAAATGTAAAAGACAAAGACAAGACCAGACTCTGGAAATGGTGGGCCTACCGCCTCCAAGAAGGATAGCTGTCCCAGTTCTGGTGAGAGATGGCAAGCCTTGCTTAGGAGAATCATCTCCATACAACTCACCGTACAATGTCAGCATTAACCCTTACAGTTATAACACTTATCCCTCCTACTCCAACTACAGCAACCCAGCCTGTAATGGCAGCTACAATTGCAGCTACACATCAATGCCAAGCATGCAGCCCGCCTCAGCCAGCAATAACTTTATGAATTTCAGTGTGGGGGACTTGAACACAGTGCAGACACCCATCCAACAGGCAAACAGTGTCACTGCACTTCATGGCATTCGAGCCTGGTAGGACTTCATTAAAAGGATTCAACAAAGCACTAAACATGGTGGCATGGACTTCATAGATTGGAAAGAAGCAGAAACAATATGATCTTCTCCTGCTGATGTGACTTTAGGCTCATGGTGTATGATTAAGAGTTATTTACTAAAGGACTACATGGTATGCAGGGCAGGACCAGCCAACAGAAGGTTTCACACATTATCAAGGAGAGTTCCTTTTTCCAATGTTGTTTAGAGTTCACTAATAGTATCACCAAGCTATTTCCAGATTGTGTGTGCCTTATAATTAAAGTGAATCTGTCACGTGTGGGGCAAGATCACAGTTATGTAGAACAGACTCAGATGATGCAGAGATCATTTTTATATTTCCTTTTTTCCTGTTGTCGTTCCTGAATAATAAGCAGTGAAAAATCAGCTGCTTGGGCATCTTTTGTTTCCACCAAATTTGTATTGAACGATATATGAGCTATAGATGGAGGTGGACCACTTGATATGGCTCTGCACCTTGGATGCTGCTGAAAATTATTTAACATCATCTGGGTGAAATGATAACATCCAGATACTGGCAAAATCCTCTTTCATTGCTGCATGTCTAAGTGTTCCTCTTTAAGTGACAGATTCTCTTTAAATACATATGAAATCAGGAGGTTACACCAGAATCTTTCTATTCTTGCCAAGTTTTTACATTTTTGACTACTACTGGGCAGTGTTTTAAGTGTACAATAAATAAACTCCTGGGAGTTTTGACTCATAGCTCATGTTTTTTAAAGCCCCATAGCAAAGCAAATTTCTAATTTACAAAGCCATAATGTAAGATTGAATGTCATTATAGAAGGGGAAATTATTTTTGCTTCTTGTTTTACTTACAATAAATTGACTGCAATACCTGAGCCACTCAGTTCTGCATGCATAACTTGGGAGCCAATAGTATGCCTGATTGAGGACTGGACAGCGGGTCTGTTAGTCTTTGGCTGTTGGCGTCACCCACTTTGTGGTCTCAGAGCATATACTTAGAAGTACTGCAAATTTCCCCACAGTAGGCTAGTGAAAGACATATATAGGCATAATTAATTTACTACAGGAGTACATTTTGTGAACCAGTTATGTGCAGAGGAATTTAAAAAAATTGAATCTGCTTTGCATATAATTGGAGTGACTTTAGCTGAAAATGTTACTCCTTTGGTAAAGCAACCATAGAGAGACAATTAAAGTGTTGCTGCAAGTGGCCATTTGTTAATTAACAATATTAAGTTATTTTGTGCTTATTTAACCCTCAGCCGTAGCTTCAGTTTTCAGTGGAAAAAGTGTCACAAGGCAATGTTGTGAATTGTTTTTTTAATTATTATACATATACCAGAATGTTGTTTTCGTTTCTGTTTTGTGTTATTTTTTTTATTTTTATTTTTGAAAAATAGTGTGACAATGTAATACAATGCCAACATCCAAGCTATATGGGCCACATTTATCAGAGGTGTGATTAGTCACCACAACTACATTTCCATTTTATTTTTTTTTCTTCTTGTGTCTATTTATTTACTTGAGGGACCTTTATGTTTTGTGGATACGGTCTCACCCAGATATTTGTATTTTAATACGTACGCTTTCTAAACATTGTTTTATCTAGTGTAATGCAGAGCCATTGATTTTAATGAACCATACATGTGCATTTAAATATGCAGAAACTGCTGTGCGCATGATTTGTTTTTGGGAGGGCACTGCATTTAACCACATATGTGAGCGTACCATTAAATAAAATAGCACAGTACAGATATGTAGTGCATTGCTGTGCTAAAGTGGCTATAAATGAACAAAACCTATAAAGCTAAAATCAATGTGAAAATTAAGGATTGAAGTCCATTAGGCTCAATTCACAAAGCTAATACACCAAGACAAAAATCCATATTTTAAGTTATTTTCAGCCCAATAAGATTTGAAAATTACAGTCACATGGTTAAAGTTAAAGATCCTTATCCTTGTGTAAAGCTTTGTCAATAGAACCAATTTCCTATTGTGGTTTTGTTTCACATGTTTTACCCAGTCATTTTCATTGTAAAACTGATAAACAACTTTACATAACGACTTATGACCATTGGAATTGTGTCACACTTCCCTTTGCATGGCTTTTACTCTTTAACAACCATTATTTTATAATTTAGAGAATTTTCCCTATAGACTGAATAGTAGATGATGGGGACAAATCACTACTTTGATAAATGTGTCCAGGTGTCTTCCTTTGCCATATTAAAATGAAGAGATGTTAAAAAAAAAAGCACTAGGGTCTGGGTTAATGAAAATAATATAGCCTGTGTACATTTCATATATATTTTATACACTGTTAGAATTCAACAAAAGAAAAACAAAATGAAAAAATGGGAATGATAGCCGTGCCTTTTAGTATTTACAAATCTTGGTTTGCTGGATGTAGACGGTACTTGTAAATTTTCATAATAAAGATTTTTTTTTTTACTGAAAACGTAAATTAAAACATATGGTTTGATGATGATCAAAGTACTTAGCGATAGTTGGGTTTTCCTAGCGAATTTCTTCAAAGCTGCCTTTGTTTAAATTTGTTTTTAATTTTTATTTATTGACATTGGTCAGAGACATAGGTTTCCCTCAAATTTAATCTGAATTATGTAGACCATTTACTAACCTGCACAATTTTTATCTCAGGTTTGTGGATCTGTGTTTGCTCTAAAGCTCAATGAGAAAAAAAAATGAACAAAATAAATAAATATTTGTGAACTGATTGGGTGTATCAAGTGTAGAAATGTTTATGAAAATAGGTCATAAATTATAACTTTTAGTAAATCATAACAAAAAAAAGCAAACAATGTGGTTGGTTCAAGCATTAGTTGGTCTACGTAAAGACGAGGGAATTCTTTTTCCCAATTGTTGGTATTGACTATTACCACATTGTAGGGCTAATTTACTAAAGGAGCAGAGGCTGTTCACCAAGCAAATTGAATGTTGGTGGTGGAGCTGTGTTCATTTTAAATACTCAACCATATGCTAGAACAAAATCCTGTGTTTTAAAATACATTACAAATGATTGGGGATACAAAGTAAAAGCAGGTTCACCTCATTTACTAACATTTTTATAGCAAAGTTAATATTCACAGCCTCTATGCCTTTAGTCAATAATCCCCAGTGAAATTTTCTAGAATGTTGGAAAATCTTTTTGTGCTTGATAGCTGATTACTCATTTCCCTGTGGAAATGTTTTCAACCAGCATGGAATAAGAAGGTCATGATATCTGCCTGTCTACGATTAGACTTACCAACAGGGTTTATAATCAAGTGAGGAAAACAAAAGGTCTATTTTGTATTTTTCTGTTCAGGGGATCACAATCCAAAAAAAGATCAACAGATAGAAAGATAGATAGATAGATAGATAGATGGATAAACAATGGAGCAGGTATTTGAAAGCCAACATCTATTAGTTTTGCTGTTGGAGACATACCTTTTGAAGATAATTGGGCTGATGAATGTAAAGTATGCTATTAGAAAAATTCCCTGTCACCCATTGGAACCAGTCATCTCCCAATGATCATTTCTACAGTCCAGGCATGGAAATGAAACAAGGATTTTGAGTGGTTGCTGCGGGCAAAAAGAACAATTCTAGTTAACATACTTTTAATTAGAGCTGCCTAAGGATTTTATGCACTTAATTCTGTAACCTATTACAGGAATGAAGAATGCAAGTTCTTATATTTGTATGACAAATGCAAGCTCCAGTGCATTTTATGTAAAGGTACATAAATGCCCTTTAGCATCAATATGCATAAATATTTAATCTTTGAATATTTAAATCTTTATGTACACATTCTGGTAAATCAAAAATGTGCCCAAACAGATTTAGTTAACTGGTTTCATTAAACTTTTTGTTCATCTCTAGCACTGTGTGCTTAGACAGAGACCAGGGATATTCGAAGTCCCTCTCTGCTGAGCCTGCATGAGCAGATCAAGCCTTGCAAAAGAATGCAAAAATCAGTTTTACTATTTAAATGCATGTTGCCAACCCTGAGTAATCAGTAGCAGAAAATATTTTTTATTGAAACCTTTAGGTATATTGAAATTATTTAATCACTTTTACAAGCCCCCATTTTGAACAGGAGAGACGCTAGCCAGTAGTTTGTTTTTTTGCTGGAAAAAAAGCCCCCAAAATATTGTAGTGACTATGTGCACAGTATTAAAAAGCTTTGACTAGACCGCATTTTCAATAAAAGAGACACCAGTCAGCTTTTTAAAAATGTATATTTATGCTTGCAAATAACTAAATAGACACATAATAGAAAAGAATAGACTACGTGAGTTGCTTAAATTCACAGCCCAGTGGCACTATGCTGCAGAGAGTTATTCAGCACGAATTGTCTTTTATAATAAAAAAAAAACTAGAACATGCAAATCAGCAGATAAAAATGATAAAAACTAAGAAACATTTATATAACACATGGGATTAAAAATAGCTCACGTGTTCGGCTATTGTGAGTTGACACAAAAGCATTTCTAAGTCATGGATACAAAAAAGAAAATAATATCACTCAAAAAAAATAATATATTTGTATTTGGAGAATGGTAAAGTCTGTTGTGGAAAACAAGACATATTTTCCTGAATATAATATTTGTCTTGTATTAGGACTAAGGTAATTAATTCAGATATTAGCGGATCATAATCATGCCTTTTTATGGCCCTTTAAGAAAACATCACAGAGTTTACACAGAATTTAGCGACTACTGATGAATCAGCAATTTTAACTGAAAATACATTATTTACTTTGTCAACTGGAAACATCGGAAAGCTGACCCATGACCTACACAATCAGAGGTCAATTGCCCACAATACAACCCGTTCTTCAAGTTTTTTTGTTTTTTTTAAAGGGGCAGTCACTTAGTCCCTGTGTTACCCGTGATACTATTGCAACATAGTTTACTTGTTTTACATACTAATTTAGTTTTTTCACACATTTCAGTTACCTCATTCTCTTATGCAATTATTATTTAATAATGC